ATAAAAACAAACGTATTTTATGACTTTTGCATTTTACAGTTTTTTCTTCAAACGTTTCATTTAAAAAGAAATGTTTTTAAAGATGTTTTTTTGTTTCGTGTTTAATTTAATAGTTGCTTTGAATATAAACACTTTATTTAGCTGCTGATAACAGTCCAAAACATTGTTAAAAAACCACTATTAATAATTAAAGAATTTTAAAAAAAATACGAACAACATCTCATAAATAAATTCAATGAAAAAAAAATGCCGCTAGTATTACATATATAAAAAGATTACTTTTTCAAGTCACAGTTGTGGTGGGGATGTAGCTCAGTGGTAGAGCGTTCGCTTCGCATGTGAAAGGCCCCGGGTTCAATCCCCGGCATCTCCACAGGAATAATTTTTTTTTTCTACTTTTTTTTTATTCATTATAATTATAATTAGCACTCCAATAGTTTTTTTTTTCATGGATAACTGCCACACATTTCCAAGCGGGTGTCTTCTACATTTGGATACAGATGTACATTTACAATGGAAAAATGTATATTTCTATAAATGTGAATGTATGTGCATGTATGTATGTATGTATGTATGTATGTGTGTGTGTGTGTGTGTGTGTGTGTGTGTGTGTGTGTGAGAATATGGGAGAATGTAAAAAAAATTTACATTTCTTCCGTTCATATCCAATATCTGCAAATCTGTCTCAGTTGCTTTCGGTAACTGACGAATGATGTCAATTTCACAACCCTACCCACCCACTGGAAGACAAAAAATAAAGAACAAGTAAAAGTTCGTTTTGAATCTCTCGTCACTTTTAGTTTTAATTTATGGAATCTTGTCTCTTTCTTCTCTACACTGCCCTCTACTCCCTGCCCTCCCCACTCGTCTGAATGCGTGGTGGACATTTTCCCAACCATAAAAACATAGACAAAAGTAAAACTTACTATCATCAATATGCACAAGAAATTTCAGCCTTCCGATCGGAGCAGACATGTAAGCCAGAAGAGGAAATATTAATACTGCCTCATGAAAATTGAAAATTGACATGTAGTAGAGTAAGTGACCCGTAGGTGCTCTGGTGCAACACCGGACATGGGTCTCATCTCATGGTTTCTGGTCTAAACTGATTGTCGCTGTTAACATGTACATGCACATGTTTTGTCATGGTGAGTTAAGATGGGCGACAGTAAATATCCCGTTCGCTACCACAGATTTTGTTGCTTGTCATTTGCGGTTACCTGACCATAACCAGTTGAGTATGTCCCCTTGGGACTGAAAAAACTGTGCATCACTGTTCATGAGTGGCAATAGTGAGTGACTATCATGGCCAGGTGTTGAATGGACTTTTTTTTAAAGTTTGGAGCAGGGGCAGCCAAGGCGACTTGAAAGTCACATCTAGATAATTGGGAGTACTCTCACTCGGAGACTATGTGAGCGAATTTTCTTTCAATTTTATAATATTACTAAGTAAGGATGTTTTGGGAAGAGGAGTAGAAGAGAGGACGTCAAATATCTTATCTCGAGTATTAAGAATGGGACAAACAAGAAATAAAATAAAAAAAAAAATGCAAGACTATTACACCGATATGAAATTTGAAAGAAATTTAAATTTATTAAATTACATGAGAAAAAAACAAAAAAAAAACAATTTACAAACAAACATGCACCAAAAATTTCTTTGTGCGCAAACAAATAGGCAAGCTAACAAATTCTAAATACAATTCTGTTGGACTCATAAAAATAGTTATAATTATTATCAACAAAATGTCCAGTTACTTTGATTCATTCGAGAGATGAGAAGGGCAGAAATTCACAAAATGTATCTCTTTAAACCACGTCTGTTCGTAAACTTTATTTTGGCGGGTTTTGAGACCACCATACATAAGCCTCTTTTAGTATAAATTTTGAACACTCTCCTCAAAAGAAAGTGTAATAAACAAACTTTTTTTTTTTTAATTATTTTATTTATTTACATTTCTAATTATTTTTATATAATTTGACATTTTTTTATATTATATAAATTTTTAGAACAATTCGTTTCCTCGAAATAAAAGATAAATAAATTAATGAAAATAAGGTAAAAAACAAAAACTAAATAAAATAAAACAAAAATAAATAAAATAAAACAAAAATAAATAAAATGCGATAAAAATAAATAAAATAAGAAATCAATATAAAAAATTAGTAAAATAAATTAAATAGACTAAAATAAAATAAATTAAATAAATCAAATTAAATTAAATAATAATAAATAAGATTAATAAAATAAATGAAATAAATAAAAATAAATAAAATAAATTAAAATAAATAAAATAAAATATCTAACATTGAGAAATAAATAAATAAAATTAAATGAAAATAGACAAAATAAATTAAATAAAAATAAGTGTTATTATTACAGTAGATCTTTCTTATATAGGCGCCTTTACTTTGTCCCTGAAAAAAAAAAAAAAAAAAAAAAACAGCATAGCATGATATAAAAAAGCACCAATCGTTAAAACATTCGTTATTATTAAGAGGAAAGACAAATTGTTATTATTTTATTAAATTTATTAATCATTTCTTGCTCGTTCGAAATTTTGGTTAAAAATCTTTCCTTTTTTTATGTCAGCGGTCGTCATAATATTTACGATTAGTGTTTTAGTGCCTTTTTTCTTGCAAAAAAACAAATAATTGTCGGATTTTAATGAAACGTTTTAGGATTTATTCACAAATGAATGAAATTAAAAAAAAAAAAAAATTAGAAAAATCTTAGTAAAAAATACTTTTTATACATATTACCTCCACTAAATTGATTTCATGAAATTTCGAGAAATTAGATTTCAATCTCAAAATTGTTTTTATTAGTTAAAAGCAGGAAACCTTAGAAAATGTAAATTATTTTTTTAACTACTCCACATTTCCCGAAAATCTGCTCCGAGTCGTAAAATAAAAAAATGCAATAAAACTATGACACTATTAAAAATTCTGCATTACTTTAATCCGGTTAGGTGGTATTGTTATTAAGTGAAAACTATATTTACAAATCAAAGATTGAAAAGCTTGACAAAAGTCGTTTTGTATCAACATTTTTTAAATCATTTTTTTTAATGTAGAAACATTCCCATTTTCCTAAGTATGGATGTTCGTCACGTGTTTTAACAGTTGCCCACCTTCCTAAAAATTTGGCCGTCTGCCATTCTTTCATTCTCATTTCTGTGTATCATCGTTTTTACATCTCAACAGACTTTTCAAATTATCCTTGCAAAATTTTAAACTTTAAATTTATAAGTATTTTTTACTTTTTCTTAAAATTCATATTTCACTACATATTTTTATTTTATGCATTTATTTTAGTGTGGGTCATACTTCAATTAAGTATTTTTTTTTTATATTTTCGCTTAAGAAAGAACTTAGAGACAAAACCCAATATAATTTTACTAAAAAATAATTTTTACTTTGATTTAAATTATTTTTTCCTATTCATTTTCCATTTGAAGTTTATTTTTTTTTAATTTGCGTGTCATTTTGAAATTTTCTTTCAAATTATTTTTCCTCTAACTACTTCTATTTCATTATTTTTTTTTTGTTAGTGGCTTTTTACTTTCTACTTTTTTAAGTTTATTCTTTTTTGTGAGAGTTATTTTGATAAAAACGTTAGGCTAAACCTAAAATAACTAAAATTTAATAAAATACTGGATAATTGCTGAAAATATTAAGTTATTTATTTTTAAATTACAAGGTAATTAAAAGCCAAAAACAAAGCGTTCACTTAGCTTCCCTAAATTTAGGTGTATTTCTGGTCAACTGTACTTAGCTTTCAACACCTTAAATCAATCATCACGGCAGAAAAACGAGAGCCAGTGGTAAAGAAATGCTTGCATACTACGTTTTATGCTATAAGTAATATTTGTTTTAAATCAGATTAATTTAACTTTAAATTTGATAATTTTCCTCAAATAACGTGTCACAAATATATATTCTATTTTTGTAAGATTTTTAAAACCGAGAATTAATCTTTGTTTTCATGTGTGACAAAATGCCCGATATCTATCGATTTTTTGAAAGCAACCAAAAAGTTGAAATTTCAGTCAATATAATTTCTATTTGAAATACACCAGAGTATTTTGCATAATGGAAATAGTAAATGTAATCATTTAGCTTTCAATTAAAGCTAAAAAAGAAAGCTTTAAGAATTCTTTTTCATTTTTCTCCCCCTGATGTTTACATCGTGAAATTTTAAATCGTATAGTACATAACCATAGCGTTTTTCACATCACGGTTAAAAATTAACTTTCAGATCGACCCAACGATTTTATTTTAGAAAAAAAATACAACACCCTGATGATGACATTGTGCTAGTGTCGAAAGTACTCGAAATAAATGAAGATGCACGCAGTGGGTTACGGAGTATGAAAATGAGAGAAAAGAGTGGGTATAGGGGTATTGATGAAAGGAAAAAAGGACAGGGATCAAAGTGACAAAAGATGGCGATTGACGTTGCATTTAAATTTTTGAAGATTGTAGTTATCAGGTAAGCAAGTGAGAGGAAGATAGTTCCAATGTCGGGAAGTGCGAAGAAAGAAACTCTTAGAGTAGAAGTGGCGGTAAAATTTAACTATTTCAACAGTAAATGGGTGGGACCTATATGCCAATCTAGTAGCACGCTTAAATTCATGTAGTCGGGGCACCAGGAAAAAAAAGCTACTGATATATTCATTTAAAATAGTGAAAAAAATTTAAAAAATAAATAAATAAAAATAAACTTTTTTTTTCACGCCTAAAATTTTGTTTTTTACTTTTTGTCCGTGTTCTGCCCCATTTAACTCGACATTCAATCTAGTTCCCTTGTTTTACAGTTGGCGTTCTTATTGGAAACGAATCTATGATATGGTTGACGGAACGTGAGGCGGGCCGCAGCAAAGAGAGAATAACTGTAAAGAGTCGCACTAGATAGGATTTTGTGGGGAGCTATGAAAATATATGCCCTGAAGGGACGCATCACGTAGAAGAAGAACCTTGTACATTGTTTATTTGACTTAGAGATAGATAGATAGATCGATAGGTAGATAGATAGATAGATATGAATAGGATTGAGATAGATAGATAGATAGATAGATAGATAGATAGATAGATAGATAGATAGATATGAATAGGGTTGAGATAGATAGATAGATAGATAGATAGATAGATAGATAGATAGATAGATATGAATAGGGTTGAGATAGATAGATAGATAGATAGATAGATAGATAGATATGAATAGGATTGAAATAGATAGATATGAATAGGATTGAAATAGATAGATAGATAGATAGATAGATAGATAGATAGATAGATATGAATAGGGTTGAGATAGATAGATAGATAGATAGATAGATAGATAGATAGATAGATAGATAGATAGATAGATATGAATAGGATTGAAATAGATAGATATGAATAGATAGATAGATAGATAGATAGATAGATAGATAGATACGAATAGGATTGAGATAGATAGATAGATAGATAGATAGATAGATAGATAGATAGATAGATAGATAGATAGATATGAATAGGATTGAAATAGATAGATAGATAGATACGAATAGGATTGAGATAGATAGATAGATATAGATAGATAGATAGATAGATAGATAGATAGATAGAAACAAACAAACAAACAAACAAAGAGAGAGAAAAAAAATGTTCTTTTTCCTTATCTGGAATCATTATTTTTATCATTTCACCCCGAACAAGGCGATAAACCCACGAAGATGCAGAGGATTAACGAGAGTGAAAGAAACTGTGTATAGATGTACGACCTGCTAGGACCACTTGACGTGAGTTGATACCTGGATTGTCTCTGACAGCCTGTAGAATGTCTTCTTTGTGGCCAGGCATACGAAGGGATCTCGGTCTTTCTCGATCCATAGTTTGTGGTGCCACGGATCCTGTCTCAGTAACACAATGATAAACAGAAAAGGTTGTATGAATCGGCTGCCTTCAGTCTGGAAACGCAATCTGATACAGCCGTGCATCCTCATGACCATTACCATTTGCGTATGTAAAAATCATAATGCCTGCTCACGATATGAATATCCTTCCATTGTTAAACGTAATAATTCTTGGTTAACTCACTACTACACACGTTAAACGTTGAAGGCAGACTAGCCATCTACCGTAAACTTTCTTTAAACTTAATAACTAAAAACGACATATGCTGATAAGAACTTTTGTCCTTGTTTTGATGTGAGGAACCTACCCCCAAAGTTTGTAAAAGTATATATATATATATATATATATATATATATATATATATATATATATATATATATAATATTAGTGGTAAATATACATACATATGCAAAATATATAAATACCCATACATGTATATTTTTTTAATAAAAATTCCAAGAGGAAGAATCCAGGTAGAACTCAATGTCCAGGACAGAGTAAGGATATAATAAAAAGGCTTAAACACTAATATTCCATGGTCATAATTTATTCCATTAGAATCGTAAATACGATCCAATTCATCAGACCTACAAATTCAAAAAGAAAACAGAAAAAACAACTCCGGAAATAAAAACAGAATTTAGAGAGAGTGTAAGTATGAGGAGGAGGGAGATCAAACCTTAACAGAGAGAATTTTAGGAGAGGTGGGTGGAAGGGGTTTAAGTAAGAGAAAAATGAATGTTGTCGGATGTCTAATGCATAAAGATACATTTCGTGGTGACATACACACACCATAGACAATCTAATGTTAGAATAAGAGGGAGGGAAAGACGAGGTGGGGGAGAGAGATGGGGCGAAAGAAAGTAAAGTTGCCTTTACTTAAAGGGCCGCTTTGTAATTGAGAAAATTTGACAAATTTAATATCGACTACAGGTTACAAATCAAATATAAGCATATAAAAAATAAATATAACGATTATCTAATCCAGCAAGGACCTATATTTCTATGTTCAAAAACACATGCGAATACACACATACACAATAACATATACACGTATATACATACACATAGGCGTGTGCCCACATACACACATACATATATCCATGTACACACATATAAAAATATAAAAATATATTCACATATCCACACATACACATATTCATCTGTTTCCATATACACACACTTTTCACATACATATACATACATACACATGCACACATGCATATATCTATCTATATACATATATATACACCCACCTCTCCTATAATTCTCTCTGTTAAGGTTTGATCTCCCTCCTCCTCATACTTACACTCTCTCTAAATTCTGTTTTTATTTCCGGAGTTGTTTTTTATGTTTTCTTTTTGAATTTGTAGGTCTGATGAATTGGATCGTATTTACGATTCCAATGGAATGAATTATGACCATGGAATATTAGTGTTTATTATTATTATTATATATATATATATATATATATATATATATATATATATATATATATGATCATCGGAACACATGAATTGCCATGTTTCAAAATTGAAACTTCAATTCAAATTCAATCAAAAAAATTAAACTTAAAATACAAAGTTCTCTTCCATTATCAAGCGATGCTAAGAATAACTTTTTAGAAATTGATTTGCTTAATTTATAAGTCCAAACAAATTTGATATTTGGAGATGCTGGGGTTAAGGAAAATTCCATCTTTTTTATTTTAGTGATGTTAATATTTAACTTATTTAGAAAACTTATGTATCTAATGTATTGTAGCTATCAAGTCGGTCAAGTCAAGGGGATAGAGCTGGGGTATCTGTCTATTGATACAAACTTCCTTTTTTCAAGCAGAAATTTGTGGTAGTGTCTATATTCCAACACATTGTCTGGATTTCAATAGCAATACATTTGGCATTCTTATTTTTAATTTTTTATTTAAATTTTATTTTTATATAAATTTCAATGGTGATTTTTTCAAAAGGGACATTCAAATATTATTTAGTCACATTTTTAATATTTATATTCGTATCGACTTAAGATATATTTAATTTATTTACTAATTGAGTACATATATGTTAATGTTAAAATTAATATATTAGTATCTAATTATGTATTCATAAACTATTTTATTTATGATCAAATATAAATATGTTAGTTTCTTTTTTTAAAAAATTAGCTATTACTTAAGGAAAAAATTTGGCAATGTCTGCAAAAACTCGCTATTTCATTTCTTTGATTTAATAAATTTTTATTTTTCAAAAACTTAATAATATCTAACTTTCCATGATGCACTGTTTTTTAAAATAAAATAAATGCTAAAAACTCTGAAATATTAACCTCATTGTTCTTTCCTATTATTTTATATATATATATATATATATATATATATATATTCCCAAGTATAGGATTGGTGTATACGGAATAAATTCCAATAACCAACAAATACTATTCTTAAAAGAGTTCTCAATACAGAGTAGAGCAAATACAATTATTTATTCGAAAATTATAACATAAATATGTTATAAAATCACTGCAAAAATAGCCATTTTGTTTCAACACTTCTGGTGTCTTATCAAGTGATTATGTTGAATGTAGACACCAGAAGTGCTGAATATATGTTCAGCAGATGTTCTTATTTCAAATGCCTGACGACAGGCGGCGCTGGTGCGTTGTTCTCCGCTCCAACAGTGATTTGGAATTCAGACTTGTGCTCTACTGTTGACGTTCTTTCAGTTACATTTCAATTGTGATTTAGAATACATTTTGGCCCATGAAAAAGTCCCAGTGCAAGTGCTGATGCCAAGCGTAAGGCTATATCGCTGGAAGATAAGGTGGAAATTAATTATTTTATTCAGAATACTTTACGTACATATCATAAACACTGTAATAGGCAATGGGGTCTGCTTATTTGCGGTTTATAGTGTGGTTATTTCGACTTAAGTCGTTTTTCGACCTAAGTCGTGACCTCTGGAACCAATTAACGATGTTGGGTGAGGTATACCTTTCTTACCTTTCTGTAAATTTATCTTTATTCTTAATATTTAGTGCTTCTCGCCATATTCGGCTTCCTTTACATTTGACGAAAAGCGGAGAAACCTTTCCCGTGATTATTTAATGACATAGGTTTTTCACATCAGCATAAAAAGGAGCATTTATTTTTATTTTAAAAAACAGTGCAACATAGATAGTTAAATATTATTAAGTTTCTGAAAAATAAATATTTATTAAATCAAAAAACGAAATAGCCTATTTACTTCTTTTCAGACTTTCCTTGCAGAAAATCACTACGCACGGGTAAAAAACCAATATTTACCTTTTATTTATGTTAAAAAAACGCCCCCAAAAACTACGTTTTAAAATCATTAGCATGCACATAAAGCCACTAGCGAGAAGGGGGATGTAGCTCAGTGGTAGAGCGCTCGCTTTGCATGCGAGAGGCCCTGGGTTCGATACCCAGCATCTCCATTACGTCTTTCATTTTCTTTAAATTTTAATCTTAACGAAAAACTTCAAGTAATCAAAAATGATGTATATATCTTACCTTATTATTTATCGATTGTTTAATCTGACAGTGGAAGTTAATCAGGCACTCGGTTGCTATAACTGTGTTTCTGAAACGGAATTTCCGGCTTCGATTTTGGACGAGTAGCACGCGAATGAGCTATTGCATTCAAGGAAGGCAGCGAACTCGCAAATTACCCACTCCCGACACGGGGAGGTAGTGCCGAAAAATGACGACACGTTGCCTGCTGATTGAGGAACAGGATGAAATTTATCGCAGCATATCTAACCCTCTCATTTTCGTTGATGGTAATTTACGGTTTTCGTCCATGTAATGTAGAGGTCAAGAGAGAACTCCAATCTCTTATTCTTTCTTTTTGTATTGAATGACGCAAACGAAAAAGACGTAAAACGCTTTCTCCGGTTTGGAATTTATTAAAAAAAAAACAGCAGCAAATAATAATAATAATAAAAATACAAAATTTACAAAATCGGCTTGCATAAAAATTTTCCTTTGTGCGCCAAACACTTAGGCAAGATAATAATTCTAAATACAATTATGCTAGGCGCAAAAATATATCTATCATTATCATCAAAATATTCACTTCGATACATACGACTGTTGCAAAGAGTTGAGAGGGAGGAATTCTCACAGGCATCGCTAGGTTCCGATTTGTTTTCTTCTTAGAAATTCTTCTTAGAAATTCTTCTTAGAATCTTCAATTTAACAAACTGAGATTCCAAAATATGATAAATCTCGTAGTTTCTGTGTAAATTCAAAATCAAGGTTAATAACTGAAATCTTGTGATAAACTTTCTCAAGTTTGCTCAACTATAGAAAAACATTCGTATATTTCTCTAAAATTCTTCTTCCTTTCTTTCTATTTTTTAGTTTAACATTGTTCGGCTCCCGGAAACTACTAACGACTTTCATTTGTGAACGCTAAAAAACCCTTCCGGTCCTTAGATCAACCAGAATCTAATTTATAGCATTAAAATCGGTTTCAAATTTCATCAAATCAATTCCTTTAAGAGCTTAACTTCCTATCCCGAATGGTTAAAAAATCACATGAAATATCTTTTTAGACCACTTCTTTTTGCAAACTTTATTTTGGCGGTTTCGAGACCTACAGACTCGGTCATTTTCTTTTTAAAAATTTTATTTATTTATCTTATTTTTTTGATACCCTACCAGTTCTTCATTTTAGTGGACTTTTTGTTTTGTTTTACAGAATCAGACGTGAGCCTCACAATTACAAAGTTTTGACACATCAAATTTTAATATTCAAGTAATTTTCACAAACCGTCTGGCTTTCTTTGGAAGTGAACACTCCTTTCAAAGGAAAATGAAATAAATAAACTAACGTAGGAAGATACGCTTTTCAATTGAGGGCGTAAGCGAGTGGTTAGAACGTTGACTTTCTGACCGCACGACATGGTTTCGAATCTTGTCCTCGTCGATTTATCAGGGAGTCCTAATTATAGATAGTATATCTAAATTTTCATATACGACATAACAATTTTCTGTGTAAAACGGGCAGCTCTGTGAAGGCTATTTAAAAACATGATTTTTAAGTTAATATTTACAATAGAAACATAATGTAACTCAATCAGTAACTGTACGTATTGGGGATGTAGCTCAGTGGTAGAGCGCTCGCTTTGCATGCGAGAGGCCCCGGGTTCGATCCCCGGCATCTCCACATTGTCTTTTTTCCCCTACTTAAAAATAAAATTAGAAAATGCTGTTCATATATTGTCCTCATCTTTCTTGTGGGTGTTAAAACTTTTTTACGTGTTTATAGACCTGCATAATATACAAGTATTTATGAACTGAAAATTTTATTTAAGTTTTTGGACTCGATGGAAGCAGGCGAGCAGTATCTAAACACTACTAAATAATAACTAGACGGTATCCCCAAGTGGAACGAGGACAGATAAAGGGTTCAGTTCAGAGTTCCCTGTAGGTTACCCAAATCGGTATACACCTGATGAATGCCGGAGGTAGTCACAACTGCCGAAACGTTGTGATAGCAATAACAAAGCTGAGTACAATAGTCCGAATATCAATAGTGTAAATAATGATAACTCCTCATCCCAGAAATTTAGACATAAATATTTTATTTGAACTTCATTTGTTACTCATTGTCTGTTTAGCGTTTATTTACCTTGTGGCGACGGGGTTACCAGTATTGTAGCGGGTTGTCACCATTATGTAAGGGTGTGTACTACACCCTTACATAATGGCTAGGAAAGGTGGGATTAAGGACAATGCGTGGACGCAATGCAATTTATATTTGACGTAAATAGCACATAGTATAAAATACAAAACCCAATGTAATGATTTCAAAACATAACAATTGAATTTATTAGTGTTTGGTGTACAAGCATATAAGCTGAAGGTGTGATAGAGATATGGCTCTTAGATTTGGAAATATTTATACCTGAGCTCATAAAGAAGAAGTAAACTGTAGTTTAGAATAATAAAGTTCCTTTAGGATGTTAGGAAATGTGAGTTGTAAACAGAAGAGATTTTAGAGTTCGTACTTGCGTGAATGTTGGTAATGGTTTTAACGTCTGACTGCATGGTCAAGACGGGAGTTCTTGAAGATTACATCTTGGCAGCAAGGAGAAAGATGAATTAAGAGAAAACACGACGGAGCTTACACGTGTTTTGTTTATATATGATTGTGTATCACATGACCAGCTCAGATCGAAAACGGGGCAAATTTCATTCCTCGCGTGCAGGATATCTGATTGGTCGGAACTGACCAATCAGCGAGCTAGTTTTGAGGAGATCAACCAATGAATGCTTGTCGCATGATATTTATATACTGTGCGTATGTAATGGTGGTTAGCACAACCTCAATCGGGGAGGGCTGCGGTGTTTGGAGCGGATCCCCTGGAAGGGGCGTGATATAACATGACCTGTGCGCCTCAATAAGGCCTAGATATTACAGGAGGCCAACTAACGTTTATAATTAAAGACGTAAGATCTGACAGGTCAACAAGAGGACAACAAACTTAAAATTTAATACAAAATTCATTTACAATACAGACCAGAGTCATTGTAGTTTAAATTAGCATGTAAGTCCACAGTTACATAAGTTAAGTTGAAATGTCCGGTGAAAGTCTTGAAAAGTTACTGGTCAAATCGAATGATGAACCTTCCGTGGTATTTTAACCAATAACCGTTCCATTTAAATATCCGGTGCTGGCGTTGAGTAGTTGCTAGTCGAATCCACTGGTGAACCTTCCGTAGTATTTTAAGCGAAGTGTACGGTTATTTGAAGTCTGGATGATATAGCCAAAGAGAAGAAACTTCCATTTAAATGTCCGGTGCTGGCGTTGCGTAGTTGATGGTTAAGCCGAGTGGTGAACATACCGGAGGATTTTAACCGAAGTGAAAGGAATAAGTTGTTTGAGAGTGCATGCAGCAATTTCCTAAACCAGGTGAGTTAGGTAGACAGGAAAGCCGAAAGCATGGACCTGGTAACTATTGAAAGCATTAACGCCGATCAATCAAGTGAGTTAGGTCGAGACAGAGATGCCGGAAGTAGGGACCATGATGTTCATGGTGAGCCGGAAGTTCAGTTCTGTTGTAGGTCGAGATAGATATGCCAAAAGAAGTAGGGACCAATGAACAGCCAGAAGTTCAGGGCTGTTGTGAGCAGGTTCATTGACGCAGATCGACCAGGCGAGTTAGGTTGAAGTAAGGGCCGGAAGTAATGAAGGGCATGAATGCCAGAAGTCAGAGTCTGTGGTAGCCGGAAGCAGAGGTCTGCTGTAGCCGGAAGTAGTACAAACCAGTGAAGCAAGGGTCCGAGGTGGCAGGAAGTAAATAAGGGCAAGAGAACCGGAAGTAACTGTGGATAGGAAAGCCCAACTAACTTCAAGTTGTCAGACAAAAATAAATGGGATTGTAATTCAATTCATCCAAGCGCCCTGGTCACAATGGTCAGGGGCCTGCGCTTTTGAGTCAGGCGAAAAGTGGCCGGGTTAAATGGAAAGGGAGTGCAGACCTTAACTGGTCCTGCAAAGTACTAAAAGTCTCAAGAAAAATAAAGTGAGATGTCCTACGAAATATAAAATGTCTACAATATGTACTCCGACTTGGTTCGTAACACTGAAAGAACCGAATAGTCAATAGGCTTATCATAAATCTAAATGAACTTAAATTGAAGGGAGTGTGGCAACGTAACGCAGAAACAATCAAGGTCATAACGTCTGCCCATGGTCACATGGGCGAAATAGCGAAGGGCTACGATGTTTCACCACTTTTCAGTTTCCACTTTGAGAGCTTATAAATGCTCTCGACTTGAGAAAGTGTTATGTAGTGGTTTCCCAGTGGAGGCTTGTATTTGTACTAAGTCGGTCCTAAAATAGGTTCGACGCACAAAACGTTAGGAACTTGATATAATAGTTAATGACGCAGTAATCTAGTTGGGGTGGCTGATACTTCAATATCCGACTAACGGTCGTCCGACATCGACTGACTGACCAACTCACTGCCGACTCAGCGACTGCTTCTTCTACTCCTACTTATTATAGGTGGGAGAGTGTATTAACTATAGAATAGGTGTGTTCCAGTATAACAGAAAGCCACAATCATATTGAAGATCAAGTTTACATTAGTACCTAATAGCCAACAGTATTACATTAATTGCGGTGCAGTGTGGAGGTTTGTTGAATCATAAAGGCACTCCCTACCACTTCAGATTTCAACGCCAGTTATTGGATGCATGGTTAGTGGTAGAGGTTATCTTATGGCAATAACGGCGTTGCTAGGCAAGGAAGAATATTTCCAGTAACGTTTAGACATCATTATATCCGTGAGATAGTAACATCCTAAATCACGGAAGGAACAGAATAAATGAAAGAAAGGAATGACAAGCATGCATAATTCGCAAAGAGATTTTATATGCCGTTATATCACACAAGATATTATATACAAATATATGGGATAACGATATTGTTGTAGCATACCTACGGACGATAATGGGTATGTCCCTATTCACATAAATACAATAGTAAATACTGTATGTTAGTCTGCAGTCGAAGATTAGTGTCCAACTGCTTCCAGGCGGAGAGAATCCCCAGATGAGTCTATGTCGAAGGACAGAGTCTTGTCTCGGGAAACAGATACCCGACCCCGTTTTATATCGGGTCTACGGGGAATTTTTGGCTCGGATACCCCACAATAAACTCGGCCTTGTGCCACATCTGACCGCGTGGGGCGGTTGGTAGATATCCTGCAGTTGGAGATTCTTCTCCTGCTGTGCTGGTGAAACTCTTTGCCTCTGGGTAGAGAGGATACCCAGACGAGACTGTTGAAGGGTAGAGTCTTGTCTCGGGAAACAGCTACCCAATACGGGGAATTTTTTTTATATACGTTTTTATACGGGCTCGGGTACACCTCATTAAATTCGACCTTGTGCCACATCTGAACGCGTGGGGAGATTGGTAGATATCCTGTAGTTGTAGACTCTTTGTGGAATTCAGTTTACTAACTGCGAGCAGTTGACTCTTCTACGCACCGCTGGCAATGCTTATATGTGTTGTTCTTGTCCTAAGTATTATCCTTCATTACCAACCTTCGTTTGATTATTCTATTCAGTAACCTTCCCTAGGTTACAACAGGTATGTAAATTTTTATTTATCATGAACAATTTTGGGGGAAAGATGTATAAAAAAGTGGAAAAAGTTTTCGTTTTTGTCCTTGAGAACTTCATACGATTATGTTTACGTTGATACGACTACACATGCGCACGAGCGAGAGACGCTGGGAATTTAAAATTTAAAGATGTTTTTTTTTAAGTCCTAAAGGACGAAACTTGTCATACAAAAACTGTTTTCCTCTTTATCATACATCTTTCCAAGTGGCTCAACCCACAGTTCAACTGATTTGTAATATTTTTTGTTTTGTAAAAAAACAAAACAAAAAAAAAAGAAACAATAAAATATTTAAATTATTTTTTTTAAAGAAATAAACTCTTTTTTTTCTATTTTATTTATTTATCTAATATTTTTAAACTCTTTCTTCATTTTTTTTTGTTATTTATAACTCAAAGTCTATTTTTGTCAATGAAAAGCAAAATTAAGTCCGCTCAGAAAATGTTAAAAAAATGGCTATCACACAAAGTCAGTCAGTTATGTGCCATGCGTGATACATACTTAGGCGATTATGTATCTTAAGATACATGACTGACGAGGCAGGATTTTTTCCCGCAGTATGTTGCCATTTCTCTCTACAGTAGACCAGTTGCAATCCAAGAACTCGGTCTGTTCTGCTATTTACCGGGGGGAGAGGAGGAGGATTCATACTTTCCCTAAGAAAAGTATTAATAGTGAATGTAATGGATACAAATGGAATCCGATCCGAGCCACGATGCATTATTACTCCGCTGCAGACGACATGTAGCCAAGTACAGGTTTACAAACTTGACAATAAATACAAGACGACGAATTTCTTTTGAGAAGTAAAAATTCATCTACGTCATAATTTATTTATATTATTGTAATTTTCACGGTAATTTTCTAAAAAATATATGAGGGAAAAATTTTTTAAAAATCATTAGTGATTTAATTAAAAAAAAAAATTATTATGGAGATGCCGGGGATCGAACCCGGGGCCTCTCGCATGCAAAGCGAGCGCTCTACCACTGAGCTACATCCCCATGTAGCTGAGCAACCGTTCTGCTGAGATTTTTTTGTATTTAGCGCAATGACGTGGGAAATGTGGGAAAGTTCTATCAGTGATTTTAAAAATCTAACGTACATAAAAAGTTAGCAGTTACTTCTTTATTTGCAATTACGAATTTTTCATATTTTTTTATTGTCTGTCTATCTCCATTATTCTTTTTTCTCTGTCTCTCTCTCTGTCCCTGTCTCTGTCTGTCTGTCTATTTCTGTCTGTCTTTCTCACTCTGTCTGTCTCTCTTTCTCTCTCTCTAGAAAGAGAGAGAGAGTACCTAGAGAGATAGATAGATAGAGAGAGAGAGAAAGAAATTAAGAGGGCGATAGAGAGAGGGATAATTTTTGCCAACATTAAAATATCAGCTAAAAAAATGCTATTCTCGATTTTTTTTTTAAATTACTAAAAACCAGTGAATTTTCCGATTTAAATGAAATTTTCAGAACTTATTAAGGCTACTTTTTATTAAAGAGATTTTTTTGTAAATATTTAGTTGGTGATAAGTTACTTCCCCTTATTTCGATATATCATGAATACAGTGTAACCCGGATATAAGAGAGTTGTCTCTTATATCCGGGTTTGGTCTGTTTTGTTTAGGTAAGTATGGCTCTAATTTGGGACCAGAGAAAATCTCTCTTATATCCGGGTTTCTCTTATATCCGGGTTACACTGATTTCTAATATTGGAGGAGGGGTGATAAATAATTTTCATAGTTTTTTTTTTTAAGAAAAATTCCTGGAAGATGTTCAGTAAAAATTTTTCCAATATTTAATCGAAAATTTTGAAAATTTGTCCAATAAAGTAAATAAATAATTTTTGTTGAGTGTTACTGTTGACGATTGCATAATTTAATAAAGTACAGTATTTTCTCTCAGATTTTACAATGAATATTTTCACTTCGAAAAATTCACTTCGAATAAGAGGTATTTTTTAAAAGAATTTTATTGCATTTATTATTTTCAAAAACTGTTAGATTATTTTTTGTAATGAAGATCAAATAGGAAAAGCCCTCTGAGTTACTCCCCTTTTGGGAGATTACAATCTTAATTTGTACTGCGTTTTATCAATCTTTCTTCTTGTAGCACTACTTTTAGTTTAATAGATTTTAATCAATATAAAAACGGCATTGGATTCAATTAATTTTTTTAGATATTCGAGGGTATCGAAAACTATGGCGTCATTTTTAATCAGTTTAATAGCAACACTAAGAAAATGATTTGTGAATTTGAGATAATTAAAATAAAATCGACATATGTCCAGATTATTCAACCACACACACACACACACACACATATATATATATATATATATATATAAATATAACGAGGATACAAATACAATGTGTGTGTGTGTGTGTGTGTGTGTGTGTGTGTGTGTGTGTGTGTGTGTGTGTGTGTTGTCGGTTAAATTAGTACACTCAGACGAGTAGGGCACACAGGGAGAAAAAACGAAATGACTCCGCAGACTAATTCCCACGTATACACACAGAGTGATATTTTATTGAGGTTTTGTGTTCACATCTTGTATTAATTATATACAGGCAAAAGTTAATCAGTACACTTGGGATGTGGCCCACTGGTAGAGCGTTCGCTTCACATGTGTAAAACTCACGGATTCAATCCTCGGCATCTCCATGTTATATTTTTTCCGATCGAAATTTGATGTCGCAATAAGGGCCTCCTGTAGATCTAGACAGAGTTTGAAATATCTGAGTCTTGTTTCTGTCCGCTACTCAAAACCTCCTTATCAGAGGCCTTGCTGTTGGATACAGTTTATCGTCATACGCAGGACGCCCCGTTTTGGGTGGAGGCAGTTTTACCCCTCTGCAGGGGTTCAGTCGGCGTATTCTGAAGCCCCAGTCGACAGGGCGTATAACGATTAGAAAAACACCTTGACGATAGTCTGTTCCACAAAGCAGCAACCCCTGGGGAGAGGGTGTTCACGTAAAACTTCCTCCTTACTAATGGAATACGAAGTGAATGAAGATGATTCATCCTTTTTCTACGTGTCAGATTTGCTTGAACCAAGGAATATAGCTCGTCAAATCACTTGCCAGGTAGAATAGAATGGCGAGTGGGTTGCGATTTTTCGTCTGTGAGGAAAAGGGTTGTAGGGTGGAAAATAATTAATCACCCACAAGGCCGCGTAGACACTTTTGAATTCTATCAAGATAGTCAAGTAAGGATTGGGCTGCTCTAGTCTAGATATGGCAGTAATACTCGATTTTTTGGTCTGATCAGACTTTTGTAAAGATATAGTATCGTAGTGGGAGACAGATACTTACCGGAGCGGTACAATGAACCGACCATTTTTTTTCAGAATCTTTAGCATCGTATTCTACTTGAGGTCTGGGGTGAGCTTGAGTCCAAATAGATGTTCAAGGCAGGGGTCCTATTTGAGGGATCACCTAATCATTATGATATATAAAACGAATATATATGATCGAACTCTACTAGTTTAGTTTTGGTGATATTGAATTTTACTGAGTTAAGATGGGAAGGTACTGTAACGGATATCGGCGAACAGAGTTCGAATTCCGTACTCGTCTGTTCATTTGTTGTGAACAAAACAAGATCTAGATTTAAAATTCAAAAGCACTGACTCATTGATTTTGTTAGAAATTTAAAAGACTCAAATTTACAAACTTTGCTTAACACACACGCTAAAGCGAATCCAAAACAAAACTCACACCTTGATGCAAAATGTTTTTCGGCCAATAGAAAACTAGGAAACATTTAAAAACAAAATTCAAATAATCTTCAATTCTCAGAAACAAATTCTTTTACGGACCTTTTCGCGAGCCGACGCGAAGTTTTATCCGTCGTCCAATGGAAAAGCCAAAATCATATCCGGGAGTGAATTCCCAAATGACCTTTTCAAGCCCAACAAACAAAATAAAAGACGGGCAAGTTCACCAGAGAGAGAAGGAGATGAGCGTATTAACACGTCCCTTGACAAACGTCAAGCAATCGTTATTATTATCTCTACCTTTCAGTATTTATCGTTCCACCCACGAGGACCGAATATGGCACAAGGCCGGTTTTAATGTGGGTATCCCCGAGCCCGTAGGCCCGGCCAAAAATATAGCCTTTGAACCCGCCTAGACGGGTTCAGGCCCTGTCTACCTCCCCGGTACGAAACCTTGCCCTTCGGCAAAAAGCCTCGTCCGGGTTCTCTCTGCTAACGCAGAGAGTTCGACAGAAGGCGTGCGCAGTCAGAGACCGCTCAACACCATTCTATTATCTCTACCTTTCTCCCTCACCTCTTTTATACTTGATAAACGAACGGAACATTTAAGACTGAGCAATTACTTCAAAGACATTCCTACCCTACGATAACGCTCATACATACATACATACATCCATACATACGTTCCTGCCTACGTACACATAAACTCATTCTTGCAAGGACTACTACGAACATTTTGACGACCTTGTATCAACCAAAATACATTAATTTTATTTGTAGAGACCATAATTGATTTATATGTATATACATTTGTTGTTTCACTTTACAATTTGATTTTCTTGTTTTATACCCCTCTTATGATGGGCTATCTAACTAACAAGGCCAAATCAAACTAATCTGTTTCAACACTCATACACTTCACTATAACTGATTACCGACTATACATTTTTGCACTAATGCCCTTGGAAACGGCCTGAATGTGTTTCTTCACCCCCTAGCTTTGGCTTAAATAGCAGGGGAAACGGGGGCAACCTAGAATTGGGCGTCAACCAATCTAAGTGAAGAAAAACTGAATTCCAAACAGTGAGGAAGTTCGCAGGAAATCACTCAATTGTGTTTTCCAAGAAATAATGGTAATTCAGAGACCGTAAAGAAGAAAAAAAAAAACAGTGGAGAGTTATGATTGTTTACATCTTAAAGGGGAACGTTGTATTAAAAAAAATGGTTGTATTATTCTCGCACGAGATCGAAAATGATGATCCTCAAAATCGCTACGCATCAATTATGGTCTGAGAGTCTAGTTTACTAATCATTGCTCCATGGTGAAACTCCCTGACCCATTTACTAATCTATGGAAGGTTGCCTCAGTCAGTGTAGACCTGTTTAGAATCAAAGGTAAAAACGTAGTAGTTGTAGTAGTAGTAATAGGAGGATTGTTTCAAGTATAGATACACGACAATCAACCAGAAGTCGGTTGATTCATATTCTACGGCCTATTAACACTTTGCAGGTTATTTAAAGTCAGAAATATTTTAGATTGTAACATCTTTTTAAGATAATAATGACTTAGCGATACAAGCCTTACTAATTAACATATAGCTGGGGAGAACAAGTGAATTCACATCTTTCCCAAGGGTATTTGCACGTAAGTATTTATAACCGAACCCAACGGGAATTGGAACTCGGCTCTCTGATTAAAAAATTCGAGTCAGTATTCTTTACACCACCCGCACATCCATGCTTACAGCACCTAGTATTTCCAAACGGTCACCCATCTAGGCACTGGCCAATCTCGACGTTGCTTAACTTCGGTGATCGTATGGGTGACCAGTGTTTCTCCGTGATGAGGCCGTAAACTATACCAAGCGCACCTGCTATTCCAAAACCGTCACCCATCTAGGTACTTGTCAGGCTCGACGTTGCTTAACTACGGCGACCGGTGTTTTAACTTGATGTGACCGTGTGCTATACCAACCGTACATCAAAGCTTACAGCACCTGGTATTCTCAGACAGTCACCTATCTAGGTACTTGCCAGGTTCGACGTTGCTTAACTACGGCGACCGTACGGAAACTGGTATTTTAACGTGATGTGACCGTATGCTATACCCACCGCACATCAAAGCTTACAGCACCTAGTATTCTCAAACGGTCACCTATCTAGCTACTTGCCATGCTCGATGTTGCTTAACTACTACGACCGTACGGAAACTGGTATTTTAACGTGATGTGATCGTATGCTATACCAACCGCACATCAAAGCTTACAGCACCTAGTATTTTCAAACGGTCACCTATCTAGCTACTTGCCATGCTCGATGTTGCTTAACTACGACGACCGTACGGAAACTGGTATTTTAACGTGATGTGACCGTATGCTATACCAACCGCACATCAAACCTTACAGCACCTAGTATTCTCAAACCGTCACCCATCTAGATACTGACCAGGCTCAACGTTGCTTAACTTCGGTGATCGTACAGGAGACCAGTGTTTCAATGAGATGTGGCTATAAGCCTCATCCATAAGGGTGGGGGGTAGATGTCGGACTGCTGCTGATAACAGAAATTTGATAATAGTTGAGACACATTCAAATGAAGATATTGTTGCAGTAGAACATGATTTATTTTTCAATTAAATATTTATATTATAAAACAACCATTTCCAGTTCCATTTCAAGCAGTGAAATAAAATGTTTACGAAAAGTTTCAAAGTTCAAGTGCTAAAACCTTTTGTAAAAAAAAAAAAGAGTTCACTGAAAAAAAGAATGAAGATAAGTATTATTAATTATAAGTTTCAATGATACCGAAGTAGGTGGAGATATAGAGTTCAAATGGTATCAGCAATGGGTGTCGAAATTCGGAGAGAAAAGTAGACGTGACCTGTACGGTGGTTGCAGATGGTATGTCTTGCTTATTTATAGCTCTACAATGGCCGAAGAAGAGGATTTTTGCATTAGGCTGGCGAAGTTTTTATTTACAGAAATCCGTTCTTGATTTATTTTATTGTTCAGTCGAAAGCTATGGGCGAGCCACTTGCGCACATACGCATTTTTTTTTTTGTCATTTCTGTTTTAGTCACGAAAGAGTTAACTTTCGTTATCGAGCCCTGTTCACTTTAACCTAATACCAAACTCACTACACTACCAAGTACTTTAGTAAGCCCAGCTGGCTACGCATCGCTTTCGGGTAAGCACCCTTATATATTTGTTTAATACAGTGTAATTTAGCAGAAATAATTAGGGACCTAGCGAAAATTTAACTCGCTACAGCAGTTGTGGTATACCCTAGTGAATTGGTGTACGGGGCATTTTTGCTTATGATCGTATTAAGGTAGGCACCCTGAATTAGTTATCTAGTAAATCTACCTTAATCTTTCAAAGAGCTACAGTCGGACACTCCGTGAGCCTCTGTTGTATAATGTTCGTAAGGTGACGAACACTTATACATAAAAAATGTATAAATAGCTTTATTGTTCAAGTTGCGGCAATTGTGTAGAGTGAGGGAGAATCACACAGGTTGGGATTGTGCGCACAGGAATTGACGAAGACAAAATCTTCAGTGAAACTCTAGCGAGGCCCTGGGCTGTTTTTATAACATTTGGACACCCACGCAACTTAGCGTGGCTACGTCTTCTTCCGGGATGTCGCCTATGCGACTTCTTGTGGCCAAGCCTCTTCCGGCCATGTGCTCACGCAATTTCGCGTGGCCGCGTCTCTTACGGCATGCGCCCACGCAAGCACGAATTTCCTTCCGTTCAGGACACCTTTGCGCCCTGTTTATTAAAGGCTCAGGAAACCTGTGAATCCTGTTTATTTTAACCATTTCCTGTTTATGTTATAATCCATCTTGTGCAGCGGAAGTGAGATCAAAGGTCTTCCTCAATCGATATCCAACACATCGACTTCAAAACTCAGCATTATTTTTCATATTAAGAATCGTTTTGGTGTAATATGCGCGTGACAGATTATGCACAATTGTTAGTATATCCTCTTCTGTATCGTACAAGGATTGATTGATAAGAAATCCGACTGCGTGGCGACGCTAATAGTGGTTATATAAACAAACAGAAGGGGAATTACGTTGTATACGAAGTCCAGTTCAAACATACTTTGTGTCAGATGATACCGTGTTGATGACAAATTCAGAACGGAATCTGCAAGAACTCCTAGACAAGGGAGTAAAGGAAAGCAGGAAGAAAAGACTAGCTATTAACTGTAAGAAGACAGAATACGTGTGGCTGTCAGCGAGAGGAATAACCCAAAATGTGAGTTACGAATTGGATACATCAGACTGAATCAGGCATAAAAGTTTAAGGAACAGAAATATTAAAACCTGAAGTCAAATCAGGACTGGCTAAATTAAACAGAAACAAAGCAACGGGGCCAGATGGAGTTATAATAGACATAATGATAGACTTAGATGATTTCGGCATTGAAAAGATTACAGATATAATAAATTAGGTATACAACAGTGGTGATATATTGGAAGACTGTCGTAACCTAGGGAATGTTACTGAATAGAATAAACAAAGGTTGGTGAAGCATGCTAATACTTAGGACAAGAACAACACATATAAGATTCGCCAGCGGCGCGTAGAAGAAGTAGTCAATTGCTAGAAATGAGTCAAGTGAATTCCACAATTAATGTCCAACTGCAGGATATCTACCAACCGCCCACGCGGTTAGATGTAGCACAAGGCCGAATTTAATATGGGGTATCCGAGCACGTAGGCCTGGCCAAAAATTCCCCGTATAAAACGGGGTCGAGTAGTTGTTTCCCGAGACAAAACACTGTCCTTCGACATAGCCTCGTTTGGGGATCCTCTCTGTCCGGAGGCAGAGAGTTTGACCAGCACAGCTGAGGACGAATCCCCGACTGCAGACCAACATACAGTATTTACAACTGTATTTATGTGAATGGGGACATACCCATTATCGTCAGTAGGTACGCTACAACAAAGACCTAAGTAGATCCGTTTTCATAGCACTGCTTAAAAAGCCAGGTGCAAATAAATGCGGTCATCATAGGACAATTAGCCTAATGAACCATATAAACAACACTTATCAACCGAATTCTGATGAATAGATCGCGCAATAGAATCAGACACGAAACAGGACAAGAACAGTGCGGCTTCGATAAAGGCATTGAGATAAGGTGTACAAAAATAGAAAGAATAATCAACACAGATAAAGCAGATACTTATTAAAGAATAAAACAACTAAAAGGTCAAAACAAATGATGATCATCAGGATGCATAAAATCCAAGGAAGGAACATTGATAAAAAGATGGAAAAGATATTCAAAGATCAAACTAATTCATCAGAGAACTCTTCCATGGAGAAAGAGGATAATCCGCAATACACAGAAATATCGAAGGACCAGAAATATGAAATCGAATCAACACTGACCAAATTGAACTGAAACAAAGCAGCCAGATGGAGTTATAATAGACATGGTGACAGACTTAGATGATTTCGGCATTGACAAGATTATAGATATAATAAACTAGATATGCAACAGTGGTGATATACTGAAAGACCTAAGTAGATCCATTTTCATAGTATTGCCTAAGATATCAGGTGCAGTGGATTGGATGTTAACAAAGTTGTGGGTTTTGTGTAGATTTTTTAGGTACAGGTGCGTGTTCAATATGTAAACAAAGAAAGTGTAGAAGAAGCATACAAAACAATCTTGAGTTTATTCTATAGACGTCTATTCCTTTTATGTTAACTGTATTGAAACAAAGTTAAATGTCTCTTGAGTATGCACGTTTTCTTTTTGGTTCAGAAATAATTTATAAGTAAGGATAAGTGCAGGTAAATATGGTCGAGCTCAAGTCAGCCAAACGCTGAGTTGGGAACACTGAACCTCTACTTTATGAGTAGGGCTGCTGGAAATAGGTCCGAACTGTCTGTCCGATTGGAAAGCGGAAAGCCAGAAAGGGAGAGTCTGTCCTTTCCGGAAGTGGGGTCATATAATCGCAAATGTGACAAGAAGCCCTTTCCGGTTTCTTTATAACTTGCATCATGGGAAAATTATTTTTTTTATTCTTTATTATTATTTTTATTCGCTTTATTTCATTTTCCTATAGTATTTTTATTGGAAATATTAAACTTAATTAGTTAGCAATTAGAGGTGAAATAAAAGCGTCAAGAAAGACTGTTATTTTCTTCAAAATGCATTTTAAACTTTAGTTATTGCTTTTTTAGGCGGTGCCTAGTTTTGTGATACTGAGATCTCCAGAGGTTGATCAAAGAAAGAAAGAAAGCAGAGGAGAGAGTGTACGAACTGGATGCTAATTGTTGAAATTGCAGGAAGATGGATTCAAAAGTTGAGAAGAAAATTAAAAAGCGAAATACGTTGAAAAATTATGTTTTTGAAATAATTCCAAAGAGAATGAAACCCATATTTAACTAGACGGAATTCAGTAAGATTGAGCAAAACCAAGACTACCCATACTTCCCACTTCCAACTGATAGAAAAGAGACCATTAAGGTATTCACGAAGAATTCAGATGAAATAAAACATATATTGACGATCATGAAACCAGGGCGGTCGTCGAAATAAATAACGTTCACGATTCCTCCGGGCAGAAAGGGCCAGAAAACCTTCTGTTTCGAATCATCCACTCTGAAGAAAAGTATCCCCACAGAGGTAGAGACTGATTGGACGCGTTCGTCATTATAATTTCAGTGATATTCGTCCGGAGAAAATTATATATCCAAACATTGATTCGGATTCCTTTGGATAAAAATGGTAAGGAAAAATTAATTACTACTTTGAAGTAACCATGGACAAAAAGGCTATTCGATCGCACAAAAAATGTATAGATAGAAAAAAAGATAAACTTTCGTCTTAACGAGAGTACAAATAATTTCTCTTTCCTTTTCCAATTCTTGAGTGTCTGGTCGATTGAGACATGTCAGCATGGAGCAAGCTGTTAAATAAGGACTAATGACTGAAAATCCTTTTTGTTTTCGCTGCACCATTTGGAAGTTGGATTCTGCACTCCACCCAACGGAGCGGGTTGAAGTTGGCTGCCGATAAAGTGGGAGAAGGAAGAGAGAGAGAGAGAGAGAGAGAGAGAGAGAGAGAGAGAGAGAGAGATTGGCGCCGTTTATATGGAGTTATATTGCAAGTTAAGGCGTAAAGAGAGTTAGTGTTAAGATCTGGCTTGATCCATCTGAACACTTTCAAAACGAGACTGGACAGCCCCAAATTTGGAAAACCACTTGAGTAAATGTATTTTTATATATGGAAATTTAAAAAAAGTTCATGCTTAGGATAGACGACAACTGTACCCAGACCCTAGTCACCCCACCCATGCTGGACGCAGGACACCATATAAGCTTGAGATCTGACACACAGAGAGATGAAGAGAGAAACACAGAGAGACCCCACACTACTGCTACGGGAATCCGCATCGTTATCCGAGACTTCCTGACCAAGACCTTGTGCCAGACCTGGAGACCAGAACTTAGAAATTTAAGTTACTACTAAAACAAGC